TAGGAACAAATTATGTAAAATTAGAAAATGCTTTAAAATGAGAAATAAATGAAGATGTCGGGTCTTTAACCAGAGTTTAACATAAGTTTAGTGTCAGTGGGTCACATGACCTGAAAATTGTTGTGTAAAAACCACTGACTCTGGTTTCTTTATGTAGCTTTGAAAATGTGTAAAAGCTGATGCATTCATCCAAAAGCAAACAAAGTTGAAGTATCTTAACTTTATAAAAAATATCTTTAAAAAAGTTACACATGTTTTTTACGTATTGGTTAAAACGGTCACTTGTCGTGACAGTTTAGTACAAGACAGATAATCTGTGAAAAGACTGAGCTCCAAGACTTGAGGTCTTGGTCTCAGACCCCAAAAGTCTTGGTCTCGACGGTCTCGGGTTAGGTGGTCTTGACTACAACACTGCATTTCCTAATTCTTGTTTTCTTCTGTTTTCAGGGTCCAAACTTTGAGTATTCCACTGAAACCCATGAAGAACTGCTCTACAACAAAGAGAAGCTCCTGAACAATGGAGACAAGTGGGAGTCTGAGATCGCTGCCAACATACAAGCTGATTACCTCTATCGATAAACTCTGACATCCCCGCCTCAGGCTCACCTGGTCCTGGTTCAGACCTCCAACACAGATTCTGTACATAGCATGACAGACTCCGTGCTCCAGGGCCAGCTGTACGTGGTTGATAAAACCCATTGATTGAAAAACACTTTAATAAACATATTTTACTCTTCAGGTTTAGCATAAAATGTTTTTTTGCCCAACATTTTTCTGACATTATTCAAGTTATACATTTGTTGTAATAGTAAAGAAGAAACCCAACCCCAGTCCAGGTTGTAGAGCATCGAATGTGTCCACAGCTTTGTGTTAACTTGTCCAGAGAGATCCTTCTCGTCGTGTACAGACGTGTTTAATGTGCCCAACGCATGTAACAGTAACATTTGATCAATACAAACATTTAAGGACTGTTTTTATTGAATTATTTTCTTTTTTACAACACACACACAAAACCTACAACAAAATAAAAAATCCCACCCATCATCATCATCATCACACACATGAACATGTGAAACAGGCATCGACATATTTTGAACATAGGATATAAATGGCTGCCAGGTGTCTCAAAATCTCAACAGAACCTTTCAGGGTACAGAAGTCCCTCGTTTATCGTGGGTGTTAGGTTCACCCCCCACCACCACCCACCCCTGTGATAAGTGATAAACAAGTAGGGATAGTAGTACAAGTACTACAAGAACAGTAAACTTCACTGTCGTTACCGTCTCGTGTGGTACATGAAATGTAACAAAATTATGTGCACAAGTAGTAGTTTATTTTAGTGTTTACTGTAGTAGTATGTAGTAAGAGGCCGAGATGGGGTAGAGGTAGGGCAGTGGACTCAGGAGCTGAAAGTCCAGGGTTCAATCCTCATCCATTCCCACACCTGTCAAAAATCAAGCCCCTCCTTTCTAGACACCAATTAGAGACAGTAATCCACACTTTTATTACTTCACGCCTGGATTATTGTAACTGTTGATCGGAGTTAGCCAGGCCTCGCTCTCACGGTTACAAAATGCTGCTGCACAATTTCTGACTGGTGCAGGCAGGAGTGAGCACATCACTCCAGTTCTCATGTCCCTCCACTGGCTTCCTGTCCACTTTCTAATCCATTTTAAAGTTCCGTTTGTTTTTAAGTCTTTGAACGGTCTTAGTCCTTCTTATTTGTCTGAACTGCTTCACCTTCACAAACCATACCGTGCTCTTAGATCCTCTGACCAGGTGATTTTAGCAGTCCTGAAAACCTTTAATAAATCCAGAGGAGACAACCTTTTCAGCTCTGGCTCCTAAACCGTGGAGACCCTAAAGACAGAAAAGCTGAAAGAAGGAGGGCTGTGATCAGTCTTACATCAGGGAAACTAAACAGCCACTGGCCAAAAGGATGGACCAGCACAGAAGATCAACATCATCAGGCCAGGACTCTGAGGTCTACACTCATCTCCAGGCCAGAGGTCACTCTTTCAGGGATGAAGATGTTCACATCCTCTGTCCTCTTCACCACTTGCTCTAGATGAGATCGGACACTTCTCCCCTCCCTCTCCGCTTTGCTTTGCTGCTCTGTCTGTCTGTGAAACTGCTGTGAGACTCTCTTGCATCTTCTGAACCATAATTATGGACTGTTCTGACCAGTTGGTCCCTCAACTCAATTTACAACATTTCTTCAAGAGAAGACAGGCTTTAGGCGAGCTGATTTACCCTGTTGGCACGCACACTGCTGGATATCTCATCGACTGGAAGACTTAATGATGTGTCTCTCTCTGCTGCCATCTGTGGATTTTAAGGACGCATATTTAATTGGATTTTCGATAACTGGTTCCTGCTTTTTGAACTCAGCTGGTTGCTGGTTTATCTACAGTCAAGGAAGTCGTTGGCAGCAAATTTGGACCTGATCATGCTGCTTGTGTTTTTGTTGGCTTGGTTCGTGTCTCGAGTACCCAGACTCAAATGCTTTGGGCTGAATGGATCAGATCTTGGGGATTTTACTCCGTCATGGTCCATCGGTGTGGCCATGTTATTTTGGACATTTTGGAACCGAGTGGACCAACACAGACTCAAGGTTGATGTCATTAAGTTCTGCCTGTCCTCAAAAGAACTGTGTGTTTATCTGAACTTGGCTCCCTTGGCTGGCCTTGTTTGGAACCAACAAACAGGTGCAGCCCAGTTTGAACATGATGCCTGAGGGATGACATTTTTTAACATATAGTCAACCTCAGCATCCAGATGTTTGCGTTTTTCTGGGTTAACTCTATCAAACTGTTGTTTTATAGGTTGTGCATCACCAACCTCAATGTCATGTTCAGTCGTGCAGGATGGAACATCTGCAAATAAATCAGAATGAGAGTTTATCAACTGATTGAACTCAAAGCGTTGTGACTCTGGTAAAGAACTCGGCACAGCGTCCAAGTTTTCCAGTAGTTCGGAGTTCCTGAGTCAACCAGGTAACATTGCTGAATCTGGAGCAGACAACCCATCTCCATTCCATTCATCTCCAGGAGATGTCACTGTTTTACCAATACACACAGGGTGAACTTCATCCACCAATACATTTTGAGCATGAACATGATTTGGTTTGAAGAGGTTAACATGAATTGTTTGCTCTTTCTGGAGTGGCAATGACATAGTTTTGTTCCGACAGCTGTTTCACAACAACTGTATATGGCCCAGAGGACTTCTCCTGAAATGGTGAACTAACAATAGGAAGTAAGGCCAATGCTTGGTCACCTGAAAGAAAGACACAGTGTTCAGCTTTCTTATCATACAGGCGCTTCATCTTTTCCTGTGCAGATGATCATTTCTCTTTTGCCAACTGTGTAGCAGTAAAGAGTCTCTGCCTAAACCCATTAACACAATGCAACAGGTTTTGTGGTGGTTCAGTATCCTTCCACTCATAATAATAATAATCATTTTATTTAAAAAGCGCCTTTCAGGACACTTATCCCACTCATCCCACAAAACAGTTAAAGGGCCACGCACGGTATGACCAAAGATGAATTCATTAGGGCTAAAGCCCAAATTCTCCTGTGTTACTTGTCCTGCTGCAAGCAACAACCAAGTCAGACCATCCTCCCAGTGAGTTCATCTGAACACAGTAAGCACGGAGTTAAGGTTTGAATTCTGATGAAACCGCTCCAGTGCTCCTTGGCTCTGTGCATGGTATGCTGTAGATTGATTGTGCTTAATGTGCAGCTGCTTAAAAAAACTGTGCAAACAAATGAGAGGAGAAGTTAGATCCCTGGTCACTCTGAATACCTTTGGTATCCCAAAAATTGCAATGAACTGCAGAAGAGCTCCCACCACAGACTGCAGTAAGTGTGTGCAATGGATATGGATACCTGGTACTCTGGCACATAACATTCAAACGATACTTAGCACCTGAACGTGAAGGGAGAAGAGGACCCACACAATCAATAATTAAGTGCTCAAATGGTTGATGTAGCTGGAATAGGATACAGTGGTGCCCGGTTAATGGTTTGATTGGGTTTACCAGTCACCTGACAGGTGTGACGTTTTAATATAGCAAGCAACATCTTCTTTCTAAAAAAGTTAAATCTGGTCCTCTGGACATTCAAAAAAAAAAAAAAACCAAAGCAAATCAACAAAAAAATGTAGAAACGTTTCGTCTCTCATCCTCAGACTGAGGAAGTCTCTCGGATGAGAGACGAAACGTTTCTAC